GGGGGGGTGCAGAAAATGAACAAACTTGCGCTTTCTCGAGCGTAGGACAATCAATACCAAGTTTGGTTATTATATTCTTAACCTTCTGAGATCTTGGCTATATCGACTGCATCGCGAAAAATAAAATAACTTGCCCTTTCTCGGGCGTAGAAGAATCTGGATACCAAGTTTGGTTTTCTAGTCATCTTTGTCATCTTGATCAAGAATATATATACATTGTGGGGTCTGCCACGCCTCCTTCTGTGTGTTACATGTAGACTCGCACAAAACTAATATACCCTTTTACCCTTTGGGTATAGGGTATCAAAAGAGGAAGTAGAGCGAACTTAATGCTGCAGTTTTTGGGCGTAGTACTGGATTTAAGTAGGAAAGCTAAAGTCGGGTGTCCTGAATTTGAAAAACTCTGTACATATGCTTAGAATAATTTAAAAAAATTTAAAAATGAAGAAAATTAAAAAAAAAAATTTGATTGATTTTACCTCTCACGGTAATAAAATCACGTAAAGAGTGTATAATTGCATATTTACAAAGCAATTACGTCTATGTTAGTGTATGCATGTCTATGCGTGTCTATTCGTGTCTGTGTGAGCATGTTAGCAGTCAACCAAAGCATCAGCATCAACAACACCTGCGGGCAGCGCTTGGGCAGCAAATGTATTTATGGCTATAACTTCCTGTCAAAATGGTCTATCATAATGAAACTTGGCATACGGACACATAATCACTAACGGGGGGTATTTGAGTTCGAAATTCCTAGAATTGCGGGAGTTATGATTTGCAGCAGAGAGGGGGGAGGTAGGGAAATTACATAATATACATTTTCTGCGTATTCACATAAGGCATCTGGGACTAAAATTTGATGTCTCTAGCTCTTATAGTCTCTGAGCGCTCGGCCACTGCCTGCCTGCACGATACAGCACACGGCAGCGCTGCATGCGTGTGCAGGAAGTGCAGTGTGCGCATTTTACGAACCCTGGTATATAGATTACACAAACAAAACAAAAAGTATTATTAAAATTTGTCAGAAATTCCATTCGTAATTATTTTGGCCAGCTATTTTGCTTCAGGTATATGACTATTATTAAAAAAAATTACAAACGTTTCAAGACTGGCAAAAAGTAATATGGCAGAGAAAAAAGACAAATTTGTAAAAGGACATTTGCCTATGTATAAGAACATTCACCTAAAAATTTGTGACAGTTTTTAAAATGGACATTTTAAACGTTTTGCAAACGTAGAAGCACCCGAATTGTGGATTCATGCTCTCTTTGTCGCTGCTGCGGTCAGTCTAAAAAGAGTTATAGGGCACCTAAGATTTGCAATAGTCAACTATGTATGTATGCATGTATGTATCAATCAACCATTTTCATCGTAGTGCTGCAACATCATTTAGTTGCATGAAATATATAAAAAGCACATAAAAGTAAATATTGTAACATGCATATTGTAATATATTTTAAACTTTAAAATGTTTCGCTTAGTGTAACTACACGTTCGAGTGGCTGTTTACTGTTTCTTTACAAGTATATGTAGTACATACAAGGTGCGTTCCAAAGTAAACAGGACTTTAAAAAAAAAACCAGAACAAATGGTTTCTTCGGCAAAATCAATTTATTTTATTCAAAATAGTTTCCTTCTGCTTCAATACAGCTTTTTGCACGACCCAAACGCATGTCGAACGAGTGTTTTAGCTCGTTGGCCGGTATGGCCGCCAGTATGCCGGTGCAAGCCTTTTGAATTGCCTCTACGTCTGCATAACGCTTTCCTTTTCCGAAAAGGTAGAAGTCGCACGGTGCCATATCAGGGGAATACGGCGAGTGGTTAATGGTTAAAATGTGATTTTTGGTCAAATAATCGGTCACAAGCGTCGGTCGTCTGAGCAATTTTTGGTCGTCAGTCAATTTGTGCGGAACAAACCGTGCACACACCTTTCGTAAGCCCAAATGTTCGGTCAAAATGCGATAAATCGATATTTTGGAGATGTTCAATTACATTTCCATCAATTTCAATGATGATTTCGGCTGATTTTTAATGAATTCATGCACAGTTTCGATTAAATTTTCGTTGATCACGAATTTTGATTGGCCCACATGTTGATCGTCATTTATGTCCTCCACTTTGAAAACGTTGAAACCACTCGTGCACTCTGCTACGGGATGGGCAATCATCGTCATAAACTTGTTCCATCAATTGAAACGTTTCGGTAAAGGTTTTATCAATTTTAAAACAAAATTTAATGTTGGCTCTTTGTTCGAAGCTCATTTTCGCACCGATAACACAAACATACTGACACTTAAAACGCAATAACTTCACTTCCAATCGATGAAATGTCATGAAATTCTCACTGGACAATCGATAAAGATAGCAGATTCTAACGCAACAGTCGACATATAGATAGCGCCATCAGGGGGCGCTAGATTCAAAAGGTCCTGTTTACTTTGGAAAGCATCTTGTATATATATACATGAAATTTATATATGTACTACATATAAAGAAACAGTAAACAGCCACACGGACGTGTAGTTACACTAAGCGAAACATTTTAAAGTTTAAAATATATTACAATACGTAAGTTACAATATTTACTTGTATGTGATTTTTAACAAAATAATTACTTCAATTAAAAAATTTGAATAATTTCAAAGAAAAATACAATGGAATGGTTGACCTTGAGAAGAGAAAAATGGATAATTATATGTATTAACATACAACACATATTTTTTATTTACAAATTAAATCTTGTAAAGAGTTTCTGGCAGTAAATGTTTTAAATATTGCTTCTTGTCATACTTTTGAATTTAATTAAAGTAATTAAAATTCAATCTAAAATGTACATTTTTATAACATGGGTATTTAAGTGCAACCGTTTTTATTTTCTTAATTGAACACATATTCGTTAAACCGATGTAATACAATACGATTTATATGTATAGTATATAAGGCAAGTAAAACACGTTAAAAAATGTCCAGAAACTTAAAACTTTGCCACATAAAATAAATAAATAAAAATGTTCATAGTGTATCATTTTTCTTTAAATTTTAATTGACACATGTGGACATCTGCTCTTATGTGTGTAGCATTAGTTGTTTTGAGTTTGCCATTACCTAGAACTTAAAATTTTAAACATTGTAGTATGTACATTTATGTATATAAGTATGTATGTATGTACATATACGTGTACGTAGAACCTTCTTAGTGAAGCTGTTTCGTTGTTTAATAGTGCTCTCAGAGTTTGAATATACTAATTAGCGTCCTTGGCGCTCGGTCCATGGTTGGACTGAGGATCTGAATTTGATACCGTATGCATAACTCTGCGTTCATAACATAATTTGGTCAGAGTATGTGTAAATTTAAATTTTGAAATAATTATTAATCGAAATTGCTTAGTAGAACATTATTTTTATAACATCACTCATAAGAAATTATTATATCATCTAATAAATAAATATGTATATTTTCTTTTACTTTTTAAAGTTATGTTTTATTATTTTTAATTATACACTGGCTAAAAAAAACATTTCATGATTCAATGAAATTGTCAATTACTAGTACCTCACAAAACGTGAATGGTTTCACGAGGTTCCCTGTGCCTATGAGAAAAAAGAAAAACATATTTTTAATATAAGTCCTCGGCAGCATATAACAAGAAACTCGAACTATAAATCACTTCAGGCATAGGTGGTAAATTTTGAATGTTTAAATACAATTTTTAATCAGAAGAAAATTTCGAGCTTATGAATAACCAACTAATAGCTAACATTTGATTTTGTATAAGCTTCTTTCTATTGATGACAAATGATAAATATTTTACTGCGAAAATACTGAGACAATTTTATTTATGTATGATCGTGTTTGTTTTTTTTTTTTTCAAAGAACAAAACAATGTATCTAACCATTTCTCTACTTTTCGCTCTTATGTTTTTTAAATGGTGTAATATTTTTTGTTTTAGCATTGAGCTGTTTATTAACTGTTCCCACTTTATCCCATTAAAGATTTTACAAGATTTTACCCTTTCGTTTTTATTCTCTGTACCCGGAGCGGAACTAAGAAAGAAAAAGAAGACCAAAGACAAAAATTAAAAAAGGTGTGAAATTAAAATAGATAACCAAAGATTTGTGTTGTTCTTGGTACTTGATTTTGCAAAGGATTGCAAGAATTGCATAGAATGATGCAACTGATTGCTAAACATTAACTTAAACTGATATCATCGTTAGGGCTCTAATCTTTAAAGCTTTGCACCACGTGAAAAATCAATTTAATTGTTAGTTGAATTTTATAAATAAAATTAACATATTTTCAATAAATATAATATAATAAAACAAACGAAACATTCATAATGCTGTAGAAGTACTGTATTACGATTAAATCGAACGTGTACAGCAGTTCTGGCAACCCTGTAAGCTGTTGCATTGATCTCGCCCTAGCTGGCTCGTGATTTAAGCAATTTGCCGCTAAGTTCAGTATATAAGAGAATAAGGAAAGCGTGATTTTGTAAGTGAGCCTTCGTGTTTTATCTACCGTTGCACTTTCCTTCCACAATACCTATGAGTATGTGCAAACATTGATCGATTTAATGAATTCCATACATATTCAACGAGTATACCGTTTGGACACGAATCAAAGAATTGTCTGAAATTACATGTATAGCTATAAGTTCCCTTAGAGCTAATCTAATCGCAATCGAACCTCTATGGAATTCCCAAAATTGAACTACAAAAAAACACTAATAGCTAGGCAGTGGCGGTGCTTAGGTAAAAACAATTATATTCGTCCTTCTTTGACTTAGGAGATCGCGAATAGTTTGGTAATTTTAATTCTTATAGTTACTGAGATAAAAATAAAAGAAATAATAGCAACAACAAGCAAGTATGAGCAGCTTGCTAAATAAAATGATCTCACATTAAGAAACGAACATACTCAAAGGACTCTAAAATGCTTATTGATTAAAAAATCAACGAAATAAATTTAAAGAAATTTAAACATCGAACAGTTAGAAAATGTACCAGTGCAGTTAATACTTGTTATATACTTCTATATACTCTGAACCCGAATGGAAAACAGTAAGTAAAAGGCAAAAGGAAGCACATCATCATATGAAAATATAAATGTATCTAGCCAAGTCTGTCTGTTTGAATTAGCGCATGAATTTCAGAGACGTCTTCATATGTAGACTACACGAGTTTATTTTTTGATGTTTCCCTCTAAACTATGTCGTCAATATTGTCCTCCGCTCCAACGCTACATAAGCCAAACGTTGCTACGTTATTAGCGGAAAAATTTTGCCCTAGAACTACACTCATTTATGTTATTTACTGTGCGTTCGGTCGCCTGTCCTAAAGATTTGTTTCCCCTCCCCTTTTTGCTTCTGGCTGTCGAAAAATTGTTTCGCTTATTACGTGTGTATAAGGCGGTTATTACGCGACAAGGGTTTCTTTTAAAAAAGTTTCATCTCAAGCTGACTTGTCAACATTTTGTCTGTGTAAATATTTTGATGTTGCCATCCAATTATTAAACAGTACGCTAAACCTATGCTTTTTTCCATGCTTGTACTTTACATTTAATGGTGTTCATCTCCAATAATATAATACCTGTCGTGTCTTAAAAGCATTCGTCCTTGACCAATACGACCCTGTCCATCGTCTAACTAGAAACTTGTAGAACTAACATTTCGTTTAATTCTTAACAATTATAAGTACTGTATGTGTATCTTTGCAAACTCAAGCAGCTCACTTTGTCAACATTACTTGAATATAACCATAAAAATTGGCTCAGTGCGAAAAGTTTTGCGAACTACATCGTCTATCTAGGAATAAGATGAATCTACATATAACATCCAAGTGTTCATCCACACACGGATATGGGTGGATCAACTTCCCTTTTGGTACTGATGAATAATATACAATATGTATACTTCAGGCTGTTAAGACCTTCGGGTGCAGAGTATAAAACGGTAGAGAAGTTACATTTGAATATATGAATTATTGGGATATTATGAAACAAACCTTAAAAAAAGTAGGTATAGTAAACTATGTAATCTACAATATCTTCCAAGATGTCCAGTTCATGTTTACTGATTCTGGTACCGGTAAAAATGTTATTGTGGAGGCCTGCAACGTCCAGCTGATGTTCCAGAAAAATCAAGATCTTTTTGTTCGATTATTGGAATGCGGTCATCGTAAAGTGTAGGCGCCTGTAAGATAATACCAGCTGTACCAGCTAAAACAGCTAAAGTGAATATCCATAAAAAGAGTCTGTCCAAGACCATAGCAACATATTTCCAATCCTCTTTAACCTAATATAAATAAATATTGGTTTCAGATAAGACTTAAAGCTAGCAAGATTTGTTATACCGATGTTGTGCTTAACTTGCCTTTGTTGAATCCTCCTGCATTTTTGTATGCTCTGCTATAAACCGAACACAGAAGCAGCTACGATGAACTCTTGGCGGACATTTTGAATGAGAAAAAGCTGGGTTATTCAAAATTGGACTTTTTATTCCTGAAGATCCAATATCTAAATCAGGAACTGCTGTTAAGTCATCAGAACTACAATGTGTTAAGGTGGGTTGTGGTCCATGGACCTGGCAACTTCCTCCAAACGGACCTGTGCCTGTTAAGCTATATTTAAATAAATAATATATTATTTTTGTTTTCTTGAAAATTCCTTTTTAGTATGAAAATATAAAAGAATATTTAACAAGACATAATCTGGTGAAAAAATTCAGCCCTGACGCCCATACCGTTTGACATCATACTCTTCTACATATTTAGTGTTGATCAAAGAGCAGTTGGTGGTGAAGAAACGGAAAAATGAAACAGTTATGGCCTTCAATCAAAAATCATCGAACCACAATATTTTCTGCGAAGTAACACACCGAAGGAGGCGTGGCAGACCCCATGAAGTATATACATTCTGGATCAGGATGACAAGACGAGTCGATATAGCCATATCCGCCTGTCCGTCTGTATGAACGCATCGGTCTCAGAAAGTATAAGAGCTAGATCAACCAAATTTGGTCTATATAGTAGATTACATACACCCACGCATAGACACGAATCTGATGTAAATGTATGCTGTTGAAACTGTACATAAACATGTGTCTCCATTTATGTATGTATGTATGTATTGAACATTTTTTATTTAATTAAATGAAATAATTTAATTAATTTAGTTTAATTTTTTAAATTAATTTAATTTTTAATTTAATTTTTTGTGGGAGGTAGAGGGTATTTCAGAGTTGAGCTTGCTCGACTTAAGCATTTCTTTCTTGATTTGTTGGGCATTTGAAAAGCTAGTGACACACGTGGGACCTTGTAAGACTTGCAGCGCTGTTATCAACGATTCTTGCATTGCATGCGGAATAGCCCGACCTAAGCGATATAAATAATGGAATTTTCATGGGAGAAAGGGTAAAAGGGTATATTAGTTTTGTGAGAGTGTACTACATGTACACACACACAAGAAGGCGTGGCAGACCCCACAAAATATATATATTCTTGATCAGGATGACAAGCCGAATCGATATAGCCATGTCCGTCTGTCTGTCTGTCCGACTGTCTGTATGAAGCAAGGTTCTCAGAAAGTATAAGAGCTAGAATAACCAAACTTGGTATCCAGATTCTCCTACGCCCGAGAAAGGGCAAGTTCATTTTTCGCACTATTCCCCGCTATTCGTGATTTTCTATAACTCCCGTTATTCTTGGACTTTTAAACTAAAATTTGGTAGTCACGCTCAGTTAGTGATTTAATTAATTAATGGCTGGCAAAAATCCTCTAATTGAACCCTCCTCGAGGGTGCCGGCTGGGCAACGGACACTGTATCTGCCTCGGAGAAAACGGGCTATACCTAGTGTCACTTGCGCGCTTACACCTTAGGCGATGCGGTGTCTAGCAGAGACGAAGGTATCGTGTACCCTAACGGCAGGGGCACGACCACTGGAGTCATGGTTAGAGGTGCCTGGCGGTTAAGCATAAAACGCTAGGGGTTATTCCCCGATACAAAAATCAAACTGGAGGTCACGAACGATGAAACAAGGGCTGGAAAGTCAGCCCAAACGTCGGTGGGAGGAAAGACCGCTACCACCGGTGGGCACGAGGAGGCGAAATCCTCTCAGCGTGTCGTCAGCGGTTACACCTCTACCGTGGTTGGAGCAGGCCACGATAGTTGCATAGCTACTGTCAAGACAACGATAACGACGGAAGAGCGCAAGAAAATGCTCCGCAGCAGTGCCGTAGGCTCAGACTGCGAGAGCATCTCTATGGAGGTCGAGGAAATGCTTCTGCTCTCCCCAACCGCGGCGGGCAGCGAAACCTCTAACAAGGTCGTGCCCAAAAGGACGAAGGAGGGCATGAGAGCGAAGGCCCAATACAAGGCAGCCCTAAAGATCACGGCTCGGCTCAGCAACAACATCAACCTAACCACAGAGGAGAGAAATAAGCTGGCCTGGGCCGATCAGAAAATCCAAGAGGGAAGAAAACACTTTGCCCAGAAGCCCTCAAAGCAGGCAAGGAGCGGAGAGTACGCAAATAAGGTCGAGGAGCAATTAGCGATGAAACGCCAGCGCTCGGCAGAAACGGTGGCAGTGGTACCAGCGAAGAAGTGGCCCTGTCAACAACAATTGTGTACCTACGTCTTAAAAGGCGCCACCCGGACGACGAAAACGCAAACACCGTGCCGGCAGGAGAAGTTGAAGAAGACCTGGGTCTGGAGAGTATGCTGGACAGCGCTCTCAACCTCGACAAGGAGAGCACAGTGGACGAAGCTGAGTCTTCCGAGGACGGCGACACAACGCTGGTCGGTGAAACGGCGTCGGAAGCCGCGCGACCGCGGAAGAAGGAGTCCTGGAACACTGCAGTTACTCCAAATAAATCTGCATAAGAGCAATCTGGCGTCGGCAGAGCTACTTCTAGCCCTGGAGGAAGGACTTGTCGACGTTGCATTGGTCCAAGAGCCTTGGATAGCGTCGGGAAACAAGGTCTCTGGGCTAAAAAACCCCAGCTTCACCACGCTCCACCCGACAACAGTAAGTAGAACAAGAACAACCATCCTCGTGAGGAAAGTATCTATTCGTATTTATTGTCTAATTTCAGCACGGATGATCTCACAGTTGCCGATGCTCTTGGTCTCCTGTTATATGGCACACGAAAGAGAGGCGCCGCCAGAAGAGCTACGCAGGCTAGCAGAAGAGCCATGCGCAAAAAAGCGGCCCCTGATAGTCGGGACAGATGCTAACGCTCACCACACGGTATGGGGCAGCCCAGATACCAATGACAGAGGTGAGTCATTAATTTCATATTACTTAATAGCATAAATATAGGAAATGTAGGGGAGGTACCCACTTACGTGGGACCAACCTCTTCCAACGATCTCGATCTTACGCTTTTCTACGGCGCGGACGTGCAAATATCTGAATGGAGAGTTCTTGACAGACACTCCCTCTCTGACCATAAATACATTCTATACAAAGCCAATTTCCGTCAAGACCAACCGAAAGCATCGTTTAGAAACCCGCGGAACACAAACTGGGAAAGGTTCAGAACGATACTGAGTAGGGGTCTAGGCTCACCACCTATTAAAACGTCAGTGAAGGGTATTGAAAAGTCTCTAAAGATCCTCACCCGAAACCTGAACATTGCCTACGAGAAAGCATGCAAACCCTCTAGAAGCCGGAAAAAACCATGATGCCCATGGTGGACCCCGGAGCTAAGAGGGCTTAGGAAAAATGTCCAGGAACTCTTCAGACTCGCCAGGCAAGAGGATGAAGAAGTGGTCTGGAACGAATCGGGAATTTCAAAAAAGAGGTCAAGAAGGCCAAACAAAAGGGATTCTTGGAGATCCAAAGCACCCAAACAACGCTAGATGGCATATTCCCAGCTATGCTGAAATCAACTAGAGAAGAGGTAGCCCCCTGGCTACTCTCACTATACGAAGCATGTCTGAGGTTTTCCTATGTACCAGTAACCTGGAGGACTGCACGGGTCAAATTTTTGCTGAAAGCAGGCAAATGCAGTCACGTGCAGCCGAAAGACTACAGGCCGATAAGCCTTACCTCATTCCTGCTATAAACACCAGAAAAGCTTTTGGAGATCCACATAAGGGAGAGTCTCTACCCACCCTTGGAACCTAGCCAACACGCCTATTCTAAAGGGAAATCAGTGGATACAGCGCTACACTCCCTGGTAGCTTGCATAGAAAAAGCTCTCCACCATTAAGACTATGCAATGGGAACGTTCTTGGACATCTCTGGTGCATTCAACAATGTGTCAACAGATGCTATCATGCGAAGTCTCAGAGCCAAAGATACACATGACGCAATTTACACATGGACTCAAAACCTGCTGGGCAGCAGACGAGTCCATGTGGAATGGGGAACCACAATCATAACTAAGAGGGCACATGGAGGTACACCACAAGGTGGAGTCCTATCGCCGCTACTTTGGAATCTAGTGGTTGACGAACTGCTCAAACAACATCGCGGGAAAGCCCCAAAGATAACTGCCTATGCTGATGACATAAGCATAATTATCACGGGAAAGTGTCCATCGACTATCAGCTCAGTCATGGCCACAACTCTGCAACAAATACTAAGGTGGGCTACAGGCGTAGGACTGAGCATCAGCGCAGATAAAACGGACCACATTCTCTTCACAAAGAGACACAAGGTACCAAGATGGAACCCACCGAAGGTGAACGGAACCCCGCTCACCCCGAAAAAGGAAGTCAAATACCTCGGCACTGTATTGGACGGCAAACTGACGTGGAGGGCCAAAGTCGAAGAAAGAGTGCAGAAAGCAACAACTGCTCTCTATGCATCACAGGAGCACTGAAAACCACCCCGACCAAAGCTCTAGAGACGGTACTTGAAGTCACTCCGCTTGACATCCACGCGCGCCTACTTGCGAAAAAGACAGCTCAAAGACTTTGCGCAATAGGAAACATTGCCTTACAGGGCTACGGACACAGCTCGATCGACAGGGAGCTTCACAGTAGTACAGACTACACTGCCCCGCAAGCAATATTCAAGCACACGCCAACATCAATGGGACCAGAGGAATGGCGGAAAGGCCTGAACTGACGCGCAACCAATATATTCACGGATGGCTCCAAAATGGAGGCAGGAACCGGGGCGGCAATATACTGTGCAGAGCCAGTACTCAAACACTCGTATAAGCTGCCAGACCACTGTAGCATCTTCCAGGCGGAAGTATTCGCCATAGGGAAGGCTGCAGAGGTATCACTCCATTTGCAAAACACAGAAGAATGCATCAACATCTCCGTGGATAGCCAAGCACCCATTAAATCACTACAGGCGCCAATCATCAGCTCCTGGCAAGCAGGGAATCCGTGGATAGATTAAGCGCCACGAAGATGGTGCACATCTATTGGGTCCCCAGCCACCAGGGCATTGAGGGCAACGAGATGGCGGACACTCTAGCTAAGCCAGGTATCGATCTGGCCTGGACCGATATGAACTGCCTACCGATACCACCTAGGGAGCTCCATAGCAGATGGGAGCACAAGGCATGGACCAAGGCAGATGAACAGTGGATCAACACAATCAACTGCAAAATAGCGCGCACGATGGTCAAGGGCAGAGATAAAAAACTCACCCAATTCCTTCTGCAACTCCAAAGAAAGGAGTGCAGACTTATAACTGGCCTAATGACAGGTCACTGCCTAGTAGCGGCCCATGCCAAGAAGATGGACATCACAGCTGAAGACAGATGCAGGAAATGTAAGGAACCCGAAGCGATAGAAACGGTTGAGCACCTTGTATGCCACTGCCCAGCGCTCTATACTTACAGAACCAGGTACCTAAACGCACATACTCTAGCCTCGTTGAAGGATGCAGCTAAATGTTCCCCGAAAGCACTGCTGGCGTTTGCAAAACAAAGCAAGATGCTAATGGAATTCTAGCAACAATCCCCTACCGACCTCCAACTATCCGGCATCGCTAAGGACCACTTAGGTCTATGTGTGCCTGCCATCGGCAGCCCACCGGGTCAACCTAACCTAATTAATTAATTAATTTTTTTAAATTAATTTTTGTGGGGTGGTACAGGGTTATAAGAGTTGAGCCTGCTCGACTTTAGCATTCCTTTCTTGTTTTTAATTAGTAAGTTGGACGGACTTCTGTTCTCTTCTGATAAACCCGGTGAAAATGTTCTCTTAGGGATTTGTCTGTTTTGCTATAAATATATAGTAGTTCATAAATGGGTAGTGGCAGAAGTGGGGATCGGCGTTGATACAGAGTAAATGACAGAAATGGCTTATTTAAAATCTGGACCGGATTGTAAAATGCGGAAACTAGTCTGTTTGCACTCCTGAATCTTTTACTATTGGAATAATTTTAGATCTCCCGCTGTCTATAGTCAGTCATAGTTTGTAAATAGTATGCGCAAGCACATTAGATTACATTACCTTTGTGATGTTAGCTCTTCTTTTGATGGTGTGTGGGTACAAGTGGATTTAACAAGGCGATCAATGTTGGTAGATGAATAATACGGATAAAAACAGGCATGAGTGTCCTTTAAAAGTAGTTTACTGCAAATACATTTTATTTTTAAATATTTTCTTAATATTCAAAAATCTATTGCAATTTTTTTTTGTTTTGATTAAATTAATAATTGTTTTCCATTCTATTAGTAGTAAATATATCGTAAACAATTAAAATAATACAAAATAGGTTAATAGTATATGCATACGCTTAAATATATTAATAACACTGTTCGCATACACAAAAGAATGTTCGTAGCTAGATTTATAAGTTTCATTGGAAATCTAGTTTATTTGTTTGCATCAGCCATATCGATGAGACGGAAAAATGCTGCAGGCTCTTGCAGGAGAAATATACCTCAAGAGGTATATTTATTATTATAGATATATATACATATAAGGGAATTGCGGGAGGTGAAAAATGTAACAGGCAAAAGGAAGACCACACAAAAGTATATCAGGGGTGCCAAGGAAATCGCCTCCGCCTAAGTTTCGCCTCATAACCAATTCTCGGAGCCACAGAAATCGCGTTTCGGATGTTTCAAGAGAGCATCTCCATTGTGCAGTTGTTTTGCATTCTGTGTGTGAATGCTGGTGTTTTAAGTATACATTTAGTAATTTGCTAAGTTAATAATATTTACATAGGATATGCAAACTATTTTTGATTTAGATTGTTCAGAAAAACTATAAGATTTATATTCCAATGATTATTTTTATTTGGAAAAATGTCTTTGTTAGTGTTTTTAATCAAAACTCCTGGAAGAACTAACGAGATTAGAAACCTCCCAAAAGCCATTTCTGTTGCAACGAGAATTGGTTTTGAGGCGAAACTTGAGCGGAAGAGATTTATCTGGCACCCCTGTATAAGATCTAGAGACACAAATTTTAGTCCACGACACGCGATTGAAATGTAACTTCGTGTTCGAAATCGATTTAATCGATGTTTAACATTTTTGTTAAACATCGATTTTTTTGGATAGTCGATTGATCGTATAAAGTCAAATGCATACCTGAAAAAGCACATTATTACTTTAAAATGTCATTGAAAAGGTCTGATCTCGAAAACGACAATAAAAATTAATTTTGTTCAGCTTTACGATTAATCGATTTTATTTTTGGGAAAATCACAAAGAAATTGGAAAGCTAACTGCTGGCGTTTCATCTTTGTGTTCGTTCGCCTGCAATTTTATCACTTTAGTGAACATGTTTCCTATTTAGCTTCTCCTGCTTTCGTTACCGTATTCTACAATTAGAATCGTGCAGCCATGAGTTGTGAAATACATATGACCAAAAGGAGAACACCAAGTTTGTTTCAGTACATTTCAGATTATACTGGTAGGTTCATGTACGAAGATGCGTGCCACAGCTGAGTTTTGTTTACATTCATAATTTTAATTTCGCCAGCTGATCTACTTGTTTATGTGCGCCTGTTAATGTGCTATTGGTGTACTTGAAAAACTTAGTGCATTTTGGCATTAAAAATCACCGAAAACTACGAGAAACAGCGACTCTTCAAAATCATACCCTACCAGGTAGTCATAAATAAGCAGAAGGCAAATCAACTGCTGACGATTGTTTGTTTATTTTAATGCAGCGGTGGGGACGAAATTTTTTAACGGTCGCACAACAACAACTTCGACAACGAAAATCACCAGTAGAGTTATGAGTTAATTGTAAGGGAAATCGAGCAACGGTACTCAGTACTCGGTACTCAGTACATGAAGTGTACAAGAGTATATTAGGTTTGCGGGAAGTGAAAAATGTAACAGGCAGAAGGAGGCGTGGACGACACCACAAAGTATATATATTCTTGATCAGCATGGCAAGACGAGTCGATCTATGTCTGTCTGTCTATCCATCCGTCCGTCTGTCTATCCGTATGAATTCCTGGATCTCAGAGACTATAAGAGATAGAGACACCAAATGGGGGGGTTTTCCGATTTTCCATTCGTATAACCGTCAATATCTCGGAGACTATAAGACCTAGAGAAATCAAATTTGAAGTCCAAGACGCCTTATGCGAACACGCAGAAAATGTTCACATGCTCACACAGACACGAATAGACGCGCATAGATGCAATTGCTTTGTATAATGTGCAATTATACACCCTTTACGTGACTTCGTATACCGAGAGAGGTAAAATTGATCAATACTTTTTTTAATTTTCTTAATTTTTTTAATTTCTATATTTATTGTAAACATTTGTCATGACACCCGACTTTAGCATTTTTACTTGTTTTTGCATCAATTTGCTTGTGCGTCTCGCTGGCGACAACTGCATGTATTTTGTTTTTGTAAGCTCGGTTCTGATCTGCTTGTGCGACTGGCTGGCGCCATTTGTGTTTCAGAAAAGGTTGTTGTTCGAGCAGATACAACCGTTAAGTATTGTATAATTCATATAACACTTTTATTAATTTACTTGTATAACGTTAGCGCCTTTTAACAGTTAGCGACAGGTAAAAACAATTAGTTAATTCATAAAATTTGTTGTAAATTGTTGAATCAATATAAGTGCCAAATGTAAATAGTTTCTTACCTTGTTTCGAAGTTATATGTAGGTCTTCTTATAAAAAGAAATTTGGGTAAGAAGTCTATAAAAACTCGCTTTACCCACGGTGCCATTCGATGTGTTTGTGGAGAACGGAAATGTACATTAAGTACGACCACTGTTACGCAAATACTAAGTTGAGATACAGAAAAGTAATTAAAATACTATTTAAGCTCAATTAGGTAGATCTGTTTCTTACCTGATAGATACTAAAATCATGGCAAATATTAAATATTTTCCCAACAGGGGAACTACTAGCGATGTAGGAGGTATAATTTCGACAACCAGAAGAAAGAACACATGAAGACTGATAAGAATTGAAATAGACAACGTCACCTAGAAGACAAATTGTAGGTCATATAATCAAAAACTTTAACATTTTTAAAATTTTTACAAACCTTTTCTCCACTGTCTGATGGTAGATAGAATGTTAGAACAGTCAAAAATGATATACCCATACACGGAATTATAATGTTAACAGTATAGAAAAGAGTTTTCCTACGCATTGTTATGTTGAATGTAATGTCCAAGTAAGGTTCATCACAACATGTGTAAAATTTTTCATTTCTAAATGAAACAATTTAAATTGAAATATAGTAATAGTATTTATAAGTCGTAACAGTATTTGTAAAAATGAAAAATACTATACACACAGCTAAAAAATTATGAAATCCAAAGAAAATGCATCAAAAATTACAAGTATATGCGTGTCCACAAAAGTATAGATTTCAAAATATACAGTATATTTAACAAGAGAGAACGCTACAGTCGAGCAAGCCCGACAGTGAAATACCCTGTACCCAGGTAAACTTCCGGCACTGAGGTATATATATGCACCTCTAGCAGAAGCAAAAGAAAGAAAAAGAGTGAACTTGATGCTGCAGCTTGTGGGCGTAGTACCGAAGTAAAATTGTTTCGCTTAAAATTTTTCTTAGAATTGACCGAATTTTAAACAACAGTAGATAATTATGTATAAATTATGTGTGCAAAGTTTGGTTTAGGTAGCATTTGAAATGTGGACGCTATTGACGAAATTCTGTAGCGGGGGAAATGGGGGGGTGGGGGTGGGGGGGAAATTAAAAAAAAAATAAACTCGTCCTTTCTCGGACCTAGGAGAATATGGATACCAACTTTGGTTGTTCCAGCTTTTATAGTTTCTGAGATCCTTGCGTTCATCCAAACGGACAGACGAACGGACGGACATGTCTAGATCGATTTCTCTCTTCATGCTGATTCAGAATATATATAGTTTATGGGGTTGGAGATGCTTCCTTCTGCATGTTACATACTTTGCACAAACCTAATATACCCTTTTTACCCTACGGGTACAGGGTATAAAAATTGTAAGTATTCAGCTATCTGAAACATAATACAAGTAAATCGCATTGACTGCCTCTGTTAGACCATTCCCGGCTTAAGATAAAACAGGACAAAAAGACACAAGACACAAATAAGAAAAACACATTTTTTCATTTAAAAAAAAAAAACAAGTTAAAAAGCTGAAGTCGGGTGTCCCGACTTTGAAATACTCTATATATATGTGTAGAATAATTATGCGTGTATGTGTGTGTATGTTTCGTGTGTCTGTGCAAAGCAGTAACAACAGCTGCGGGGACTGCTTGGTCATACATACATATATGGCTATAACTTTCTGTTAAATCGGTCTAAGTTATAGCCATCAATATAATTGCTGCCGAAGTGCTGTCCGAACTGTTGATGTCGGTGATTTGGTTCACTGCAAACATGCACACACACGAATAGACACGCATAGGCATGCATACACTCACATAGACGTAATTGCTTTGTAAATGTGCAATTATACACCCTTTACATGAGTTCGAATACCGAGAGAGGTAAAATTGATCACGATTTTTTTTAATTTTCTTAATTTTTATACCCTGTACCCGTAGGGTAAAAAGGGTATATTAGGTTTGTGCAAAGTATGTAACATACAGAAGGAAGCATCTCCGACCCCATAAAGTATATATATTCTTGATCAGCATGACGAGAGAAATCGATCTAGACATGTCCGTCCGTCCGTCCGTCTGTCCGTCTGTCCGTCCGTCTGGATGAACGCGAGGATCTCAGAAACTATAAAAGCTAGAATAACCAAAGTTGGCATCCAGATTCTCCTAGGTCCGAGAAAGGACGAGTTTATCTTGGCCTGAGATTACTGTAGGGAGGGTATATAATAATATATGACTGCTCAGTGGAACTGAATGAAAACAGGAATTACAAAATAAGGAAGAAACCTCGCCTGATGCTTGATAAAATGTGGCAGTTTCAGCAGCAAAATTTACATCACAATCGTGTATATGTGCGTGTATGCGTGCAGTACAGAATCAGAAAGAAAAACAACTCGTCCTTTCTCGGACTTGGGAGAATTTGGATACCAAGTTTGGTTATAATATATAAAATAAAACAAACTAGCACAGTGTACACACATAAGGCATCTTGGTGTCTCTAGCTCTTATACTTTCTGAGATTCTTGCGCTCATACATACGGACAAATGGACATGGCTATGTAGACTCTGTCTGTTACATACATACATTCGAACTAAACTAGTATACCCTTTTACCTTTAGGGTACTGTTTTCTTTTATAATTTTTTTTTTTGAAGATCTTTATATCAGCCACTTTTTTGTACTTGACGCCGAAATTTAGAAATTTTGCGGAATCAGAAAATTTAAACTGCGCTAGATAGCTTAATTACATTATAGAGAATGCGTTTAAACTTACCTTACAGCTGGCACTTCAAGAATGTCCCATTCGACAGACATGTAGAACTCAGACAAGTCCACTCCAACATCGACTATATTGCTTCCCTGTTGTTCGTCCATATGTCTAAGATCCACCTTAGGAATTACAGAAACGATTATAAAATCATTTTTAGTAAGCATTAGACTTTTCAAAAAGTTGCGACACATAGGCAGTATAGTTATTGAAAGCGTTTAAATTAAATTATATTTGAAATTAAATAATCAAACTTTAAAACAAGTTGAGCCAGAAAGTATGAGCTCATGGATATATGACAGTTGGATATAAAGCAATACTGCATGCATACAAGAAATAGTTCTAATTAAAATTTTTATTTTGTAAGAAGTGTGCAAATCATAGACTATTATTTCAGAAGTTTTATTCAAATTAAAATGCACAAATATTTGTAATTTGCCTCATAACATTGCTAAATTCCTTCCAAAAAAAGTATATTTAAAAAGTTTTCGATCTCGTTTTGGAAAGCTAAAAATACTTACTTATATTTGGAATATACAATAATAATAATAATTATTAAGAAAATAAAGAAAATAGGGTTATTAAACATATGGTAAACAAAATAAATTATAAAATATATATATTAAGATTAAATAAAATAAAATAAATAAAATTTACAACATAGCAATTTGATGAACATTAATATTTCCCCCTTAATTTTAATATTGCTACAGCTTATAGATGTATGAACATCTAATTTTTTAACTATATTTAAATATTAATATTGTTTTCCTTTACAGGTTAATCTCTTCAAAAGCTAATAACGTGGGATTAATATAATTTACATGCCATATTCAAATAAACGAAGCTATGCATTTATAAATATGTAATCAAGGAAAAGATTAAATAATATAAACATTTAAAAATAACTTCTATTGGCCTAGACAGATAAGTTTTGTTTTGTTATTGCAGTTTTATTTATTTAGTATTGTGCATGGATTTCGAGAAATATTGCCAGTAATTTACATATAATATTAGAATGCATGTAGACTTTTGGTTTTATACAGACAAGAGAACTAATTATAAAAAAAGCTTCGTAACTTCAATAAGGCCATCATGTTAATTTGGAAGCGCTTCTTAAATTAACCGACTTTTGGTCAAATCATCAAATTTTTATTTTTTGAATTTGGTATGCGGTTGGGGGCCGCACCAAAAAAAAAGTTAAGCTTGTCAGTATCAATATTTAAATATTATTTTTATCGGTGCCCAGAAGCTTAGTCAGTACTTCAGAAATTCTAGTTTTGTTTTCCCTTGATTATAGCAGCTGTAAGCTCTCAAACTCAATACATACATAACAATGGGAATTTAAGACACTTAAAAAAAAATAATACGTAGATGTATACAAAGTTAAAAAAAGAAAAGAGTCTTCGGTAGTATCGAAGATAAGTGTACACTCTGATCCATCCAATGAATTATATTTCTAAAAAAGAACTTACATTATCTCGAAGCATTCATTTAAGATATTGAAATCGGATATAAAGATTGCAGTTACTTAAAGAAAAAAATGAAACTAAAATGTTGGTAACACTTATCTAAATATATATTTAGCCTTTAAGAACCAATCCCAATGATACAAAAATACGCAATTTTTGGAATCTAGAGAATAATCTGTGGTCAAGCAGTGAGACATGCTTCAATTTCCTTAGGTATTTTGGGCGCAAGGTCGTTCAAATAAGATCTTAATAGAAACAAAAAAGTTATTTTCCTATTCTAATATGGACAACTAAAAACAAAACTAAGCCAAAACAGCTGAATTTACATGAACATGCAAAGTTTGTTTTATGCAGGATAAGTAAAATTTAATTCTAATGTTAAACATATTCAAATGCGCACCATGGAATAATAAATATTGTTATAAAATTTACGTTCTAAACAAGCTCCAAATCATTGCATTTTAAACCGTAAGTATTGTTTGTGTTTAGTGGAAAATGTGGGAGTTTTGGGTGAGGTATATATTTTTCGTAATAAAAATTGGACTGTATATGTGTTGCTGTTAATCATATGTGTTGTGCTTTACAATTTTTTTTCATCTTCCTTATTGTAAACTAAAGCTCTGAACAAGTGGACTGAAATCAGTGTAAATGTACGAGTACCTATATTTATTTATCCAAATTAAGCGAAAAGTTCGCGCACAAAACAAAGCAAGACTCTTAATGGAAATTGCTGCTATAACGAATAACGAATTTGTTTCTCATAACTTTATTAACTTTAATCCCCACATATAACGCAAACCTCCCAGAGAATACTCAGTTTTGGAAGGATAATGTTTTTTTAATATATCAAGTTCTTTAGCACTTCTGTTTTTATTTAGATAGTGAAATGTGGTTTTTCATGTTTCTTGTTATTCTTCTGAACAGGCGGTTAGCCTTTTAAAAGCCCCAAACATAAAGGTAGTTGGAAATAACATTTTTATAACATAAAACCCCATTTTTAATTTTTAAAAAGGCAATAAAGCAAGGTATTGGATTGAACATATTTAACATTTATTATTCGCGCCATTAAAAATTGAAAAGTATGTATATAACTTTAGAATGGCTTAGCATTTAGTAAATTAAATTTCTTATTTAGTTCAGTTCGTTTAGAGTGTATAAATTGCTTATTTAAAAATTTTTATGAAAATTCTATGCATATTATATCTTTAGTAATTTCATCACATAGTAATTGTATCGTTTTACTTACTTTATTTATAAATAATAAAAATATAGGTATTTCACCGCAAAAGTTAAATGAAACATTAAAATAATACTAGTATTGAGGCTTACATATACTAAATATAGTAAATTCTCATTTCTGTTGTGTGTTTTCTCCTCAAAAGTATTTTACTAAGCTAAGAGCGAGAATAACTAAACTTGTTTTTATGCTGATATACCCCTCACTTCCCCGCTATAAGTGATTTGGCATAACTACTAAAATTTTTTATTTGAAATTAAATCGACAGTTACATCAAGTTAGTGCTTATCTGTCATTATAATAATAATCATCATGATATGACAATTGTTAAGAAAGTTAAAGCTATAAATGTAATCAGATGTTGTTATTGCTGCTGATTTGGCAGAATTCAAGACTGCACACATACGCCCGCATAGACGCACATATGTAGATAAAACCTCGATGCACATCTATGAAAATATACATAAACATAAGTAGTATGTATACACGTTATTTATTTTGTATTAATTAATAAATAATTAAATTAAATTAATTTTCTTAAGTATTAATATAAAAATTATTCGTGGGGGTACAGGGTATTTAAGAGTTGGGCTCGCTTCTATAGGCCGATTTTAATATTTTTATAAATTTATTGAACAAATATTTTAATTTTATTTGATTTTATTTTGTTAGGGTGGGTACAGGGTATGTAACACACAGAAGAAGGCGTGGCAAACCCCATAATATTCTTAATCAGTATAACAAGACGAGTCGATATAGCAATGTTCGTCTCGATGAGCGATATCCATGTCCGTCCGTCCGTCTGTTCGTCCGTCTGTCTGTCCGTCCGTATGAACGCAAGGACCTCAGAAAGTATAAGAGCTATAATAACCAAACTTGCTTATTATTCTAAGTCTGAAAAAGTACGAGATTGATTTTTTTTCGATTTTACCGATTTCCCATAGCTCCAGTAATTCTTGGAATTTTTGACTCAAATTTGAACTAGAGTGGCCGCAATAAAATGCGCGTACAAACGGCGGATAGAAATATTTTATGTTTTTAATAAATTTCTAACTTTTCTAATGGGAGCTGCTTTAAAAGAAAAGCTGCAGATAAAGAAATCGAAAACCATTTTGTTTCGATGGTCTAACACTAAAAGTAGTTAGAACGGCATATTCTGAAAACCCCGTACCTAATTTTACTAATATTATTCGCTTTAAATTTATTTGTGCTTATTAAATTTAATATTATTATAAAGATTGTGCCTATGACATAACACAAACTTGCACAGCGTACACACAGTGTACACACAGCGTACACACAGCGTCCTTCTGCCTGTTACATTTTCACCTCCCTCTTGCACATTTCATGTGCAGAGTATAAAAACACAAACTTGTCCTCTCTCGGACCTAGACTACCTAGGCTATTTTACCTGTTAATTAAAAAAAGGGCGGAACATACACTAGTAACGTTTTAAGACGTTGAGCGTTGAAACTCATTTCAATTCCAGTATCACATCTCCACTACATTTATAATGCAATGGGTGTTTTTGGATTAATTAAAAGTTGGTCCAAGTAAGTGAATAAGCTCTACGCCATGATATTGTATAACTACCTGCTTGTTAGTCTTATTCGTCTCATCCATGTTCGTGAGATGTAGGTCCACAGCCTTTTTAAATTTAATCAAACAAACAAAGATTTTAATATATTTATTTCTTAATATGTGCACAAATGTAACACACAAAAGGAGGGTAACAGGTCCCACTAAGTATATATATTCTTGATCCAGATGACAAGATGAGTCGATATAGCCATATCCGTCTGTCTGTCTGTCCGTCTGTATAAACGCAAGGATCTTAGAAAGTATAAGAGCTACAATAACTTATCATCCAGATTCTCATCCAGGCTCTGAGAAATGACGACTTTGGTGTTATATTTAATTTAATTAATATAAATTTAATATTAATTTAATTTTTTTTCGTTTTTCCTTTTTGGTGGGAGGTACAGGGTATTTAAGAGTTGAGCCCGACCGACTTTAGCATTCCTTTCTTGTTAATTATTTTTAATAGCCTGTACCCAAAGGGTAAAATGCTATACTAGTTTTGTGCGAATGTATGTAACATACAGAAGGAGGCGTGGCAGAACCCACAAAGTATATATATTCTGGATCAGCATGACAAGGCGAGTCGATATAGCCATGTCCGTCTGTCTGTCCGTCTGTATGAACGGAAGGATCTCAGAAAGTATAAGAACTAAATTTGGTCTATAGACATTTCCCCACCCAGTGGAAATGCACTGAAATAATCATAATTCAAAAACCTGGAACCCTGCCTCATTTCATCCGATTACCTTATTGGCGGTTCTCTCCAAAGTAGTTGAGAGACTATTTTTGCGCAGAGTCCGAGCAACACTGGAGGCTTCAGAGAATGTCATGG